CACATTGCACGTGTGCTCGGACGGGCCGCCACCTGGCTACTTTCACTCGGGAGCCGGGGTCGGACCTGTACACACTGACCACTGAGTCCCCTCAGGTAGCTGCGTCTGCGTCTGCGTCTGCGTCAGGTCAGCTGTCCGCCCCCTGCTCATGTCGCTCTCTGGCGCATGAGACTGTCCTCTGGCACCACCGCCTTGGTCACCCGTCTGTGCAGCGCCTTCGGGCCATGCACAAACGGGACCTTGTTGCTGGTCTTCCCAGGGTGCTCCCTCCCCTTCCCGACTCCCCTGCTCCTGACTGCATTCCCTGTGTCGAGGGGCGGCAGCGCGCCGCTCCTCATTCCTCCTCCTTTCCCCCGACGACTGCTCCCTTGCAGACGCTCCACATGGACGTGTGGGGCCCAGCCCGCGTCCGTGGTCAGGGTCAGGAGAGGTACTTCCTGATAGTTGTTGACGACTACTCGCGCTACACCACGGTCTTCCCCTTGCGCGCCAAGGGTGACGTCCCTGGTGTTTTGATCCCCTGGATCAGCCGAGCCCGTCTCCAGCTAGGCAAGCGCTTTCACTCGGACTTTCCTGTCCTGCGCTTACACTCTGACAGAGGTGGTGAGTTCGCCTCCGACCTCTTGGCAGCCTACTGTGCTGAGCACGGCATTGAGCAGTCGTTCACGCTTCCGGCCTCTCCACAGCAGAATGGGGTCGCTGAGCGCCGCATTGGCTTGGTCATGGAGGTCGCTCGTACCTCCCTGACCCATGCGGCTGCTCCCCACTTTCTGTGGCCGTTTGCGGTCCGGTACGCAGCGCATCACCTCAACCTCTGGCCCCGTGTCTCCTTGCCGGAGACTTCCCCGACTCTACGGTGGACGGGAGAGGTTGGCGATGCGTCGCGTTTCCGGGTCTGGGGATCTCGAGCTTTTGTCCGCGACACGTCCGCGGACAAGCTCTCGCGTCGCGCTGTTCCCTGTGTCTTTCTTGGCTTTGTTCCCGACGCGCCTGGATGGCAGTTTTACCACGTCACCTCGCGCCGGGTTCTGGCCTCTCAAGACGTCACTTTTGACGAGTCCGTCCCCTTCTACCGCCTCTTCCCCTACCGCACTGCCCCGCTCCCCCCCCCGCCTCTCTTCCTCGCTCCAGGTGCTGAGGTACCAGACCCCCTCCCCCCTCAGGGTGCCGCTCCCTCAGGTGTGTCCCAGGTAGACCCGGGTGAGCCTGTCGAGGTAGCTGTTGACTCGCGTCCTGCGTCTGGGGGTGCTGAGCCTGGGAGTGCTGCGTCTGAGGGTGCGGAGCCTGGGGGTGCTGAGCCTGGAGGTGCGGAGCCTGGGGGTGCTGAGTCTGGACGTGCTGAGTCTGGGGGTGCTGAGTCTGGGGGTGCTGAGTCTGGGGGTGCTGAGCCTGAGCGTGCTCCACCTGGAGGAGCCCTCTCCTCCCAGCAGCTGCAGGAGAGGTACCTCGAGTACTGCCGCCTCCGGAGAGGTGCTTCTGGAGCTCGTCCCGGTGCTTCCCCTCCTACCCAGGAGCTCCCCCCCATTCAGGTGATCCGCGAGTGGTACACGCGGCGCTGCAGTCTTCGTAGTGGTGCTCCTGGTGCTGCGGACCCGAGCGGTGGTGCTGTTGCTGGTGCTGAGGACCCGGACGCTGGAGCTGCTGCTGGTGCTGAGGACCCGGGGGCTGGAGCTGCTGCTGGTGCTGAGGACCCGGGCGTTGGAGCTGCTGCTGGTGCTGAGGACCCGACCGGTGGCGCTGCTGCTGGTGCTGAGGACCTGACCGGTGGCCCTGCTGCTGGTGCTGAGGACCCGGGTGTTGGAGCTGCTGCTGGTGCTGATGACCCAACCGGTGGCGCTGCTACTGGTGCTGAGGACTCGGGCGTTGGAGCTCCTACTGGTGCTGAGGACCCGGGCGTTGGAGCTGCTGCTGGTGCTGAGGACTCGGGCGTTGGGGCTGCCACTGGTGTCCCTGCTGCTTCTGGAGACGCTGCGCGGCCGCGACCGTACTTCGTACCGCTCCTTCATGTTGGGTGCAAATGCACATTGCACGACATCCTGCCGTCTGTTTGTACGAGTATGCGTGTGCGAATGCATTTGCGTGTGAATGGTGTGTTCGTGTGTTTGTTTGCTTTCGCATTTTTCGCTTGATGAATTTGCAGGTACTCGCGCAATGTGCGCTTCGGCACAACATTGTACGCGCTATGAACAGTGCAAGCAGAAAGGACGAGCTCGCAAAGGAACCCAAGATGGAAGCTTTGCAGTTCGGTTGAGTTGATTGCGCAGATTCAGTTCTATCCAACTCGAAATTGTACTGTTTTGTTTGGTTAACTATAGTGTAGCAGGGAAGGCACTATAGGGGTACAATTTAGGTGAAGGTTGGATGTTGTTTGTCTGTATCTGCATGCTACAAGGCCAGGGGAAACCAGCGGAACCAGCATTTGGCTGGTTGGGAAAAGACAAAACAGGTTCTGTTTTTAGAACCTGAACCTGGTTGTTGTTTTCCCAGGTTGGAAAAACAGAACCAGAGGTTGTTTACCAACCTACCACCTGCTATTTTGTCCAGCCAGGTTGGTTATGTTGCTTGGAATTATTTGGGATCATCCCTGGTTGTTCCCAGGTTGATTCCCAAGGTCCTTGCTAGCTAGAACTATTTAATCCTTCTCTGTTTGTACCTGAATATAGTCAAATTGATTCAAGCGAATTCCTTCCTCGCTGGAATTTCGTTTCTGCGCTATTCGACGGCGGAATGCTACCCGAGTCAACACTAGTATGCTAGCACTCCAACGCTAGGCAAACGCTGTCCGAGCCATAACTTAGTAATGGCAGAACTTTTCGCGAGGCAACTTGGCTCATTTTAAAGCTCTTGGAGCGAGCTTCGATATAGCGAATTCTCAGCTTAATCCGACCGACGGTCTGCACGGCACGCTGCGCGACGTTCAAGGTACTCTTGCTGTTTTGACTAAGTCCTTCTTGATCCCTCTCTCTACAAACTCGGACCCGAGGATAGGGGCTGGTCTTGTACCAGGCACCCAGGGACCCTTGGAGGTGACCCCGAGGAGAGGTTTTAAGTTTGATTAAGTCCTAATAGCTTGAGTTTATTAGGCCCTTACACCAACAAGCTGGTATCAGAGCTGCGTTATAGTGATCCTCGTTATAGGTAGCTATGGCGGGCAACACCTCGGCGGGAGCTGGTGAATCTTCAGCCCAAGATCGTAGCGGCAGCCAAGATTCTGGTCTTTCAGCGCCAAGGGGAGCGCGAACAAACCAGGGCTCGCTTGTCAAGGAGGTGCTGAAGAATTTCACCGTCGAGAAGTTCAATGGTGAGGGCTATGATGATTGGGCCTGGAAAATGCAATTATATTTCCGTCAGATCGGTTTGCTGAAACTAATGATTGGGGAGGAGCCTAGACCGAGTGACCCCACGCTGCAGGAAGATTGGGACGAGCGCTCCTCGGCTGGCTACTATTTGATGTCGCAGAGTTTGGAGCTGAACCAGCGTCACCACGTCATGCACCTGCTGCCGGAGGTTGAATGCGGTCCGAAGGCGTGGACCGTGTTGAAGGAGCTGCACGCCCCGACCTCCGTTGTCGCAACGTTGATGCTGGAGAGGGAGCTGTCCGCGTTGCGCCTGAGCGAGGGAGAGCCGGTGCAACCAGTCCTGGACAAGATGCGCGACCTCTACGCAAAGTTGGCGACCGCGGGAATCACCTACCCGGAGCAGACCAAGTGCTTGAAGATGCTCTCGCTGCTGCCAGAATCGTGGCTTCAATTTACGAGCGGATTGAGCCTGCCGCAGAACCAGAGCTTGTGGACGCTCGAGTGGGTGCGGACGAAGATTCTGGAGGAGGACTTCCGTCGCCGCCAACTGAGGGGTGGAGACGACGGCAGCAGCGGCTACGGGATGCAAGGGAGCCGACGTGGCTTCGGTGGTGCTGGACGCGGTGCAAAGAAAGACGACGACTCCAACGACCAACAAGGAGGTACCGGTTGGGGTCGCGGTGCGAAATCTGGACGTGGGGGCAAGTCGGGTGCTGGTGGCAAAATGAAAGGGAGTTGCTGGTATTGTGAGAAGGAAGGGCACCCCTGGTTTTTGTGCTATAAGAAACCCGATGGATGGACCCCCCAGAATCGTCACCAGGATGGCGGCGCGCGGAGGAACCAGAAAAACGGCGCGAACATGGTCGCTGATTCGTCCGACAACAACCCGAAGGGCAACGGCGGTGCGGAGAAGAAGAAGGAGCGCACCGCGGGCCAATTCTTCCATGTGGGAGACAAGGGGGAGCAAGGAGACGCCTCTGCCAAAGTTGGAGCAGAGCTGCACCCCCTAGACTATTGGGTGTTGGACACAGGCGCTGCTTGGACGATGACGCTGCGCAAGGACCTGCTGGACGAAGTACGAGCTGCACCGATCAATGAAGTGTGCTCCGCCTCTGGACACATGTTGAAGGTGGCTGGTGCGGGACGAGCTGCGTTTAAGGGAGCGGATGGCAAGCCGGTGGTGCTGCACGACGTTCTCTTCGTCCCCGACCTGAAGGCCAACCTTATCTCCCTCCGTAAGCTTGGCAAGGCTGGGGTGAACACCAACACGGATGGGGCACGCACTTATAAGGGGAAGCTGGGCAATCGGGTGCTTTGGGATCTGCACGAGAGCAAGGACGTGTACAGATCTATGTGGCAGCTGCCGGCCCTGGCGTGGCATGGTGGGGGGCAGGCTGGAGAGGGGTCTGCATCCCAGGGGGAGTGCAATGCCGTTGGAGGGGTTGGTGTGAAAGTGTCGGCCAGGTCTGGGGAGACAGATTGGGCAACGGCACACCGGCGCTTAGGGCATGTGGCAATGCCTTTGCTGAAGCAGCTGGAGAAGGATGGAGCCGTTAAGGGTCTGAAGCTGAACGGACAGCCACCCGATGACAACTGTGAAATCTGTTTGCTTTCAAAGTTCACCCGTTTCCCTTTCCATAGTGTGGCTGGCAGGAGCAAGAAGCCTTTGGAGCTGGTCCACATGGACTTGGTGGGGCCGCT